GCTGAATTGCACAAAACGCATGATCGCACCGGCTAGCCTGGTGCGCGTTGCCATTTATTATTTTTTGGTTTAACGAAAATCTAAACTTTGCCATATAAAAAGTTTTCAGCTGATGCCACTGCTGCATTACATTTTGGGTCCAGAGAAGATTGTGCGATTGAATGTTCACTTAGCGAAGCATCACTTACTTCCACCATTCGGTCAAAGCTATCGTGAATATCCAGAACTTAGATGTAGCACTATGGGTATACAATTCAACAATCCACTTGGATTAGCAGCAGGTTTTGACAAAGGTTATTTTTTTTATCGGTTCTTGTTTCTGCTTAAAAGTGTACAGTTTTTGTCTGTTTCCGTCATAAAAACAGATGTAAATAAGGAATTGTGAAGTAAAAGTATCACGCACGTAAAGGTATTAACTATTAACGCTGTATTCTAATCGTAGTGCTGTGTGATTGAACAGGCAAGCGCCCACCGAATGAGGTGCTTATATAAGGCAAAATCGACTGGTGGGACGAAGTGTTTTATCGGAATGGTCATGGAGAGAAGCCCAAACTTAGCAGAATCGACAGCTGCTGTGTTTTGATGTGTTTGATGTGTTGATTGATGTAGTGAGCTACTGAAATCCTCAGGGATTTTGTGAGAACGCCGTGTAGTATTGCGTGTGTGTTTGGTTTTTTTTTTTTTTTTTTGGTTAAATGAAGATTTCTTAGTATCCTGAACTTGACATCAGACGCAGCTTCTTTTTGCAAAAACCTTTGTGAACTGGGAGAGAACTGAACCACCCACTTCCACTATCTCCCCATCCTTCGCATCGTGACGTGTTATCCACTACACTACTGGCCTCTTTGCTCCCTATGCAGTTGAGGCACAAATTTCACTCCCCCACATATTGCTGTCCATTCTCTGATGTTCTTGCCACACGCAGCACAGTATCAGCACTTGCCGGCTTTTCGTTGGACTTCCGGGATAAGTAGAGATCGTGAGGATCCATTATCTCCTCATCCTCCGCATCGTGACGTGTTATTCACTACACTACTGGCCTCTCTGCTCCTTATGCAGCTGGGGCACACATTTCACTCGCCTACATATTGTTGTCTGCTGTATGATGTTCTTGCTCTACGCAGCACACCATCAGCACTTGCCGGCTTTTCGCTGGACTTCCGGGATAAGTAGAGGTCAAGAGAATTCAAAACCATTTACTGCAAATATGCAGCGTTAACTAAGGGCGTAACATCAGCTGAAGACTTTTCTATCCATCAAACCATGCACAGAAAGGCATTTTCAGATGCACAAGCAATTAATGGTCTGCGAAGAAGTGGTTTCGGATTTATCGAAGTGGGCACTGTAACACCATTACCGCAGAAACGTGACCGCAAATCAACTCTAAAGCGTACAGAAACTAGTGAGGTTAAAATTTTCAAATCGCTTTAAAATTTGCCTTTTGTTATCTTAGTGCTGCAAAATTAATTTTTTTTTTTTTTATAACGGGTGCTTATTTTTAATACCGCGGTGTTGTGGTATGAAATCACAGATATAATGAGGTGCAGCCACACACTATGTTAAACCTTTTTTATTCTGATTTTGCGTGTCGCCACTTTTCCTACCTTTTTTATTTATCTTTAGAAAAAAAACATACAGATATATACACGTACACACACACACAAACACACACATAGACATACAGACCTATAAAAGGACACACACATACACGTAGACATACAGACATATACAAAGACACACACACACACACACACATATATACACACATGCATCACTCCTAATAAATTTTTATTTTAATACGACTCCGCCAGTGGGGCAATCG